TAAAAATTAATTATTAGCCAATCAAAATGCAAGAATTCACAAAGACATCAAATTTCAATATGAAATTTTTGAAAATAAAACAAATTTCATAAATTCTGCCTTTAGGTGTCCCGCACTATACTAAAGTTATTTGTTTTACAGTACTAACACTTATTTTTTTTTCAGGTAATAGTTTAATACTTTCATTTTGTCATTCAGTACTTTTGTTTTTTCTTTCATCATTAGTGTTATCAAGTTCAGTGCTTTTTTCTTCATCATTGTCAAATTCGGTACTTTTCTTCATTGCTAGTGCTTTGAGTTCAGAGGTTCTTTCGTCGAATATCATACAAATCAGATATAAATAAGATCTGTATTTTTTTTTATTACTTTTTCTGCTATTCTGTTTTTGTTTTAATTACTAATACTTATTTTTTTTTTTTCTTTAGTAATAATTTTATACTTTCATTTCGTTGTTTAATACTTCTGTCTTTTTTTCGTCATTGGTGTCATCAAGTTCGGTGCTTTTTCTTCATTGTTGTAAAATTTGGTACTTCTTTCTTCATTGCTAGTGCTTTGAGTTTAGAGGTTCTTTCATCAAATATCACACAAATCAGATATAAATAGATCTGTATTTTTTTTTTTATTACTCTTTCTGCTATTCTGTTTTGTTTTAATTACTAATATTTATTCTTTTTTTTTCTTTAGATGATAATTTTACACTTTCATTTCATCATTTGGTACTTCTGTCTTTTCTTTCATTGTTGGTGTTATTGAGTTTGGTGCTTTTTTTTTGTCGTTGTCAAATTCAGTGCTTCTTTCTTTGTTGCTAGTGTCTTTGAATTCAGAGGTTCTTTCTTCGTGCTAGTGTTGTCGAAAGTCACAGATCAGATATAAATAAGATCTGTATATTTTTTTTATTACTCTTTTTGCTGTTCTGTTTTTGTTTTAATTAGTACTACAGTTAGAGTTGTAAGAGTTGTAACTTACATACTTACCTTACATGTAAGTTACATGTAAGTTATATTCAAAATTTATAATGTATAGTAAGTTTG